CCCCATTATACATTTGTCTACAACACTTATACCGATTAGGTTTTAGGTCCACCGGCTTTGACGTAATTTTCCGACGGGTGAACATTATAATAATAATAATTTAACTACTCGATGACACCGCACTGTACTTATACACCTATCATAAACATATACATATGATTTATTATATTAAAATATTATTTTCATATAATATTATAGTCACCGGAATGTCATATAATACTATTCTCCCGAGCGTTCGATGTTCTCTATATTATATAGGTATACAGGGTGAACTCGAGGCGCGCTTGCATATGTCGACAATGTATTATATTTCACACTGACACGTATATGCAATACACAATAATGATGGTGATGATGATGATGATGATAATAATGACAATAATAACGATACGTATATAGGTGCCTACGCGTGCCGATCAGTCAACATGCGTAAACTATATTATTCGTGAAGAACAACTTTTGTTACCAATATTAAGAATATTATGTTCTAAAAAAATATCTCGTCGTGTAAAAACATCATTTATATCTTTTCGGAGTGTACCTACGTGGTTTTTGCATAATTCATACAATTTGTGTACGGTGACCCCTGCGCCCTGTATACTGACAGGTAGGACATTATCGTAGATTTATAATAATAATAATAATAATAATAATGAACACAACACACAGTCTTTTTTTAATTTAATTTTTTTTATTATTATTATTATTTTGTTTTTGCTTAATCCATCATCATTAACGTCAAAACTGTCAATCATGATTGAACATTTTCGATTATCCGCATAGAACTATTTATTTTTACATAAAATTAATTTTGCACAAGGGCGGTTACAGTGTAATGCGAGACGAGTTAAGAATATCGATAAGAACATTTTCGTCTAACAAGTTGTGATTAATTTAATTTTGTTTTAATACAAAGTCACCGCTTCTGGAAAACAAGTAGGAAGTTTTCTTCTCTTGGGTTTCAGTTTAATCTGCTTAAGAAATGACAGTTGCACAACAAAGATTACTGTGCAAAAAAAACATTCTCAGAATACTATATGGAAATTACAACGAAATCTAAAAGATGCGAAACTCTTATGAGCTTATATTTTATATATAATATACCAAAAAATAATGAATTGCATCGCCTATAATACAGATATTTCGTCAATTTCTCACACTATAATAATACATTACAATGACTCATCATTTAACCCGATAATATTATGTGAAATAAAAATAAAATAATCGTGTTAATACATTTCMATTTTTCATGTTAAAAACCACTCGAACCATTCAAAACTTTACTCACGTGTAGTGCTAACTGATGTATCCAAGTTTCAATCTCTGTGATTACGAAAAAATTCATATATAATAAATAATATTATATAAAAAAAACTTCTTTATCCTTGGCGAATCCTTAAACGTAATTTTTTCCAGAATTTTATGTCAGAAATAATTTTTCATACGAGTCTGTTGGCTTGAATTAATATTAAAAGTTTTGTAACCACCAATATTTTTCATCTGTCTTTCAGTGTAAAAACTACATAAATTATTCAAACTTTTTAACTACATTTTATGTGACAAATTTTCTCAAAATTATGCTTATTTAATATCCACTTTTACTCTCCAAATCCCACGAATTAATTAAAAAACAAAAAACTATATACAAATAAAGTTATTTTACACATTTCCTTATTCTTGCGTCGGACAGTTTCAAAAACTCATATTTTGTTTTTATCTATAGCATAATAATATGCATTTATTGAATAGCTTTTATCCAGTGTAAAACCCATTGTACTTATTGACAATATTCAACTCAAAACCTATTATGATCTGGGTTTAAGTATAAAAAAAATGTACATCACTTTATTAAATAAATAGTAAGGACTAAAAAGTATACTCACAATGTGCAGTATGTACATATGATTTTAAAAACTTTCAATAACTGAACTCGGTGACATCATAACAATATAAAATTGTATAAATAATAAAAATCAGTCAAAGTGCGATCGAGGGACAAACTTCAATCTCAAGAAAAATTGTCTCACTAATGGCATTGATATCTGCCTAATTTTCATTGTCCTTACTAGATGATCCGAGATCAAAGGTTTCGATCGCTCCAATGTTTTGTGATGAGTTGGTTTGAATATATTTTATAGCGTAGGCGGCTTCACTATATTACTAAATCTGCACTATACACACATTCTGAAATACAGTGCAGCTATAAAAACGTTTTGAATTAAAATTAGTAAGAATTTAATCGACAGGGAATTAAATCTTGTAACCATTCCGGGCACGTGTGTTATGACAGAGTATTTAAGCTGATAATCACAAAAACACATTTAAAATCATTAACTATCAATAAACAATTTCGAGGTTCGGCGTAAAATAGAYAATAAAATATATGTTTACGATTTATATTATATATACGGCGCGTGTTTAATGTACCAACTCGCGGTTAATGAGAATTGCAAATCAAATTTGTATTCATGGGCACTTTAAGTTWGTTTTTCTCAACTTTCCGATGGCCATTAAACCGCAGATCCTTGCAGCAATATCCCATATAGTGTTTCAAGACGTCTACTAACGAATTGTTTACGTACAGGTGGACATGATATATATAAATATATATAATATTCACATGACGTGACATTAACAATAATAAAAATAATATAAATAACATGGTACGATTTGCGATTGCGGGACGCAAATTATTTTTTCGACCGACAAATCCAAATGCTCGCGAAAACAAAATGAGGAACGTTTGGTCGGGCGTCGCGAGTTTGCGTACGGGGCGGGATGGTCGGGCGGCGAGTGTTTGCGGGCGGACGGGGGAGGGTGATGTGGTTTAATCGATCGACCTCCACTCATCCGCCCTCCAACCCGCCCGACCCGCGTAAACCGCATCAGACTCGGTGGGGACATACGTAAAATATTTTAATGTACACGCGACGTCGTTTTCCATCATTCGTGTCCATAAATAACGCGATCGGTCGGGCGAAGTTGAAAACTTTCCACATTTGAAGGGCCTCGAAGACGAAGCCGAGGAACTGGAAGAACTCAGCAAACTGGCCCTGAGCCCGGTGGGCGTGTACTCGACCCAGGTGTCACCGAACCCCACCAACCCGGATTGGGTGGACGACGCGACCGAGCGGGCGGAAGAGGCGCTCGTCCTGATCCCGGCCGCGGCACCAGAACCCGGAGAACCGGCGGAACCGGGAGAACCACCGCCGCAGCCCATCGCGGTGTCCGCATCTTCGGAACCGGCCACTCCGGCGCCGGTCAAGGGTAACGGCCGCCGGACCAGTCACTCGTGGCGGGGCCTAAAGAAACAACTGAGTCGCGTCGATCTGAGACTGAAAAACACGTTCAACGCGACGCCAGCCAAGAACAAGGCATCCACGTTCTACGGAACTGGCGAACAACCGGATACAGACGAAGCCGGAAACGTCGGCACCGGCTCTGCCACGACTGCCACCACATCAACGACCACCACAACCACTGGCCGTCTACCTCAAATCATAACCGAAACCGATGGTCAAGAGCAGCGGCCGGACGTTGGTGGCACGCAGTCGGCAGCCCATGACCAGTCGTCCACCTCGGCCGCGGCCACCAGACCCACGGAGCTCAAGCTGTTTGACCGTGACGGCAAGCCCATTAAACCCCCGCGATCCACCAAAGAGCACCGGAAACGGACGTCGCTGGACAAGCAGAGCAACCTGACCACGGGGTCGTCGCGAGACGCTCGACTCTTGTCTGTGCCCAACATCAAATACAGCCAAAGGGACCCAAGACATAACCGGTCGAACAACCAAGCGTTCATCAACCTCATTAAACGACTAAGTAAGTGTTGATATACGAAACCAACAACTGCCCTGTAATAATAATAATAATAATAATAATAATAATAATAGCTATAACAATAATAATATGTTGGTATGGTGTCGTTGTTGTTGTTGTTGTTGTTATTGAAGTTGATGTTGATGTTGTTGTTGTTGTTGTTGTATCTGTTGTCGTTGCCGTTGACAGTCGTCTGAACTCTGACTCTAGCGCATCTGTATTATGATCGACGTGACATGAAAATCAATGATTTTTAACCAGAAAATCGTAATAAATAATAATAGTATGATGTCATAACTTCATATATAGAGGGCTCAGCCTCTCTTACTAAAATGTTGCACCCCCCTCCAAAAAAATATCCATTATTGATTTAGTTTCAAGATTCCTATATTAAGTTATTTTAAACGAATAGTTTTGTTATGTGGGCTGTAGTCTGTCCCTCAGATAAATTTAGACACAAATATAGCCAAAGATGAAGTTATTAATATTTTATTTCTCTATATTTTCATTTCAGCTAATTTGAAATGTTTAACTTATTTTTCAAGTATATACGTACCACTCAAAACTGAGTTTATACTATATAAGATTGTCAAAGACATCGTACATTTTATAAACAATTATTTTGAACGCCAATGAGTCACCACTGTAATAATATTGAGACAATCATCGTCTCCACCTTCGTGGTCGTCCTCAAAACAAACTCAGTGGTGGTAAAAACCTTCACCACCGTGGTCCGTAGGTTCATAATTCAGATGATCTATTTGTCCGACGCAACTGTAACCACAGTAGGTACCACACCACATCATCATCATATCTCAATCGAAATAAAAACAAACAATTCGCTTTTATGTATACAAATATATTTTAGAGTCATCTATACATATCATTCAATGTTATATTATAACGTCAACATGATAAATAAAATCGTCTATGTTTTATTATATTGATTTGTATACACAGACCCTCAGGTGAATTTTTTCAGGGTGTTGCATGTTTTTTTTTTTTTAATTATATTTATAATAAGTACATAAACAATCACCATAAATCGGAATCATCTTTATAATATAAGTTATACAATATATTTAGTTATCGTACAATCATTTAACTAACACAATTTATTAATTTATTACATTATATTATTTATACAAAGCTGTGCACACTAATGAACGAAATGACAAAATTATTGTACCGAATATATATATAATAAATACGACACGGTCTTGTCTCGAGTCGGGTTATTGCGAGAGAGGTCGCTGTAAGAGGAGAATGATTTGAAGCGAACGATGTAATCAGTATTAATATATTTTGTTCGTATATGTTTTGTCATAATTTTATTACCGTTCAACAACATAACGTGTCGATTCAAGTTCTGGTCTTATACTATTCATATACATTTATATATTTAATTTTCAATTCATTTCTGAATAATTAATTGTCTTTGTCGACAAAGGCTGATGCTAACTCTCCGTCACGAGGAAACCCCGACTTAGTGTAGTTTATGTGTAGAGATATTTAGCATACCGCATCACCATGTATTTAATATTTCTCAATATTAAACCCATTACGACGATGTATTATGATGTATTGGATAGCGATTATTAAAATATAATACTCCTAATAAAAATAGTTACCTAAATATTACCTATTATATATTATAGTGCCTAATTATATTATGGAATCTTGATGGTAGATGGTTGCATCGTAATTATTTGAGTCGTTGAAAATCCAGTAGTAYCGAATTTTTATTTTTCAAAATTTATAATATTATAGTATATGTTTTCTAAAAATGTATTGTTTTTTTTTTCTTTTTACAAATACATATAATACATTGTTGTAATTAAATTGAAATATTATAATGGCCTGCAGTATACACATATAATATATCAATTATATAATATATAATAAATTAGCGTTATCAGATGGCTTGCGATGTAATTTTCAGTAACCTAATATTATTGTTTCCTTCCTTATTTTGTTTATTTTAATTTTGATAAAGTTAATTGAAATGTAAGTAGAAGTCGCTAGCGAACATTTTTTTCCTATACAATAGTTTAATTTAAAACGTTGAGCTTATTTATTAGTAAAATGAGATAAATATTTTTTACTACATTATCATTATTATTTCGTATTTTTCACTTTTGTTTATTTGTTGTTACTATTATAGGTTTTTTTTTTTTTTAATTGCCTTTATAAACGTCAACCCTGAGTTTAACAGACAACATGCCATCCAGCTTCCACAGCAGACATTGACGTATCTATGTTTGATTAACAAATCGTTATTAATTATTATATACATAAAACGTAAATGTGTTCCATATCATGTAAAGTGATAAATTTACCATTTATCCAATCAACCAAAACAGAAATATTTACATGAATGTGTGTATATATAATGTGTTTGTTTTATTTTCTCGGATTTGTTGGTGTTTTTATTCATTTAATTTCGTGTTTTTTTTCTTTCWTTTTAGTACAGGTATAGATTGTTGTGAAGTACCATACATGTTTGATATCATTATACTTAAATATATATTTTTTTTTGTCATAATTTTTTAGAAGAAAAAAATAATATATTGGTAACAGTTTGCTTTTCTTTTAAATTAAAAATATTACTGTGTGATGTGTTCAAAATTAGTTAGATAGTAAAATATATATATTTACTTATCTAAAACAAATCATGTTTGTTTTGAAAAATTCGTTTTGATATTTATATGTAATATATATATATTATATATTATATATAAATATATAAAGAAAAAATACATTAATTTATATAAGTAGTTTTCATTGTAAATAACATTGTTGTGCTCTGTAAATGTTTCAAGGAATTTAATGAGACGCGAGAGAGCTGCCCCGACCATAGACTTGGTATATATACCTTTAAAATCTCATGTCATTTTATTATTTTTCATTTATTTTTATTTTTTTCTGTTGTGTTTGGTTCACTAAAAAAAAATTTCCTTAAAGTTTAACCACTAACAAAAATTTATTATAAAAAATGATTGTCGTTGATGCGTACGAATAATGGCAATTTTTTTTTATCAATCGCATGGGTTATGGAAAGTTTTTTTTTTATTTAAAGTATAATATTTTGTTGGTTGGCCAACAATGTAAATATATATTTATTTATATATGTATACAATGATAGTATACCTACGTACACGAATTTCTGAATGTCACCCCAAACTCGTCGTGTACCTAACGCGTAATGTAAAAAGCCATAAACACAATTTGGCACGTCATAACAAAATATAATACATATTAGCCCATGCTGTAATATTATTCGCTTAAGTTCAGAAATTCTGTATCGATGTGCTGTACTATATTATATAACAGTTGTTATTACTATATAATATGATATCTAAGCTGGTTTTAAAATTTRCCTAAGCTCATACCTAACGTAACGATTATTTCAAGTTGGTCTAAATTTTCCTAAACATAAGAAACGTAAAACAATAATAACAATAATATATTAGCTTAGTTATACATATATATGTATATATATTATATATATTTTTAGTTCAGTATGACAGTATATAAGTTTTTTTTTTATCACGTAAACGCATACACTTACATTATATGGCAGGTACATTTAAATATTACATTGGTTTGGGTCATCTGATAGATAAAAAAATAAAAGTGGCGCAAACGAATGATTTTAAATTATCTGATCATATAAGTATAAACATACATATGTATATAACGCGTATATATATATATATACATACACTACTATTATAATATTAGAGCTATATACAATATTGTATATACTTTAATMATTCACTTAGAACAACAACTGCGTATTTATGCGTTTTTCTTCCTATGTAAACGGGCAAACGTATATATACATAATATACTTTATTATTTTATATACGATTTGAATGGCCGTGCGTTGTTGTACATATTATTTTTGTATAAGCTTTTTGTCAAACAACACGATTCTAACTTCTATAACACACGCGGAACACGCCAAACCGAACGTAGACAAATATTTACATTTTTCTTTACTCAGCGCCAAACGAGCATAGGTATTCCATATTACGATCATATTATTATTATACATGCATACCTATACAAAGCACACGCTTTTGCGACTTGGTCCGTCTTTGAATAATATTATTATATTGTATTATTACAAACAAAACGTTTATGTTATGTATCATTCGCTTCGCAGGAAAAAAGTGCCAGCGCGTCTCTATATGTAATATATTAATACAAAATTCTCTCGCTAGCCACGTATCGAAAATTTCGTCTATCCGTTTTAAATTAAAGTAGAGAATTAGTGGTGATTTGTTAAGTCTTCATTCGATTTAAAAAGCYTATAATTAAGTATTGAATAAAAGAAGATGCGGGGTGGAGTAAAAAATATTCTCAAAATAATTCTAAACAGGTGCAGGGTAGGTGATTATAATAATAATAATAATAATAATGTTATAAATTAATAATATGTTCGATATCAGTTATGAACCTCTTCCACACACTGCAGGTCTCCTGTTCGCTTCTCGATATTCAAAATACTTACGCTTTTTTTTTTATCCGTTTCCACTCGACAGTTGAACGTGGGTTTTCGCTTATCATGCGATGAAAAACCAAAACTTGACCATCTATATTATATTTATACAATTTTGCAAGTATATACAGGGTGGGCATGAGAAACGGAAAAATGTAAAATAACTCTCACAGACGTTTAAAAAACTTTTTTTTAATATTTATTATTAAAAACATAGAGTACATAATATGCCATTTTAAGTTCAAAACACTAAAATATCAAGTTCGGAAAATAATCTCAGTAAGATGGTGTCCTTTCCTCWGTATACATTCCTGGAATCGTGTATGGAGGTTTTACATGACTCTTTGTAACATATCCATGGGAATTAAAGCAATTTCTTCTTGAATTCTTTTCTTCAACTGGAGAAGTGTTGATGGTCGAGTGCTGTACACTTTGTTTTTTAGATGGCCTCACAAGAAAAAGTCACATGCCGACAAATCAGGTGACCTTGGGGGCC